TTTTCAAGTTTATCGAACGCGTTGTTCTAATGCTTACTAATATAAGAATATCTATAATTAATTACTCAAAATCTATTGAGACAAAAATCGAAAGCTGGCCACTTCTGATACGTTAACTTTTTTACTTAAGAGCATAAATAATTGATTCACTACGAGACATACGAACTTGTGTTGTTGATTTTTACATAAATATAAAGAATATTTTTTGTAGTAACTGAAAAACAGTTTTGAACAAAAATAAATTGTAAGGTTCTAAAATGTTTTAATAAACAAATATATACGAATACGTTAAAATACGTTAGGATATATTTGTATGTGAACGTGTCAGGCGATGATCGGGCGTGGGTTGAATACGAAAGCGCGGCGCTGTATCACCGCTCGGCAGTAGCGCGCAGCCCGCATCTCTGCCTTGTATCGAATTCCTCAATTGTTATTTGTCGGCTCCCTCAGCCCCGGAAACAAAGGCGGGAAGTCGCTGTGAAGGTAACATCTTACAAAAGCTTAACTTGATTAACCAACGCTTTAATAAATTAATAAATTATATCACGTCTTTAAGCCCACCAAGACAGCAGGCTCTTTGATCAAACCGATCCTTACAATATATAGGTCGAAAGGAAATTGCTTGGCAAAAATTGTACTGCAGTGGTTTGGAAAGAGATTTCATGTTTATGGGTGAGGATTCATTGTGAACTTGGTCTCTGAGTTAAGTGACAAAATGATTTAAGTTAATTACCTAAAAGTTAGCACATCGTCATAAATTTTATACATTTTATTTTACAAGGACAAAATGTCGGATTCTACTATAACAATACTTTGAGCAAAATTTTAAGTAACATACGTGTGTATCGTTTTTCTATGTATGAGTATTTTCTCGACGTACATTTAGTTTAAACTTACTTAAATAAGTAACACTGAAAGATCTTGCTTGTTAGAAATTAAGTTTGTACATGTTTGATGCACGTACAAAGCTAACACCTTAAAGTTTGTTCTAAGCTGTGATTCTTGACAACTTCATTTTGAGTTATGTTTAAGTTAACAAAGGCCTGATAAATAATGTTTTACAAAAAAATATTCGCGTTTCATTAAAAATATTTCCTTTGTAGTTTACGATATGATTCAAATATTAGTAGTAGTTTACTAATTGTGTACCTAAATATAGACCGACAAGGATATCTGACACGATGAGCATATTTCATATTAAATTTTGACTGCTCACTAACGCTGCTCTCTACTCCTTCCAATATCAAAGAGTATTCCATGGTCCTTTTCGTAGTAAAGCTGTTATACACCTGGTCACATATCCTTGTTTGAATATAACATTACACTCTTCAAAGTATTAGTATCAAAGCATAATAATGCTCTTTGACATACCTAGGATGTGATAACGCCTCATGTTTAATTACAATACGTGCCTCT